TAATGAAAGAGTAACGTCCTTTTCAATGAGGATGAGCAAACACAGAGAAACTCACCCAAAAAAAAAATGAGAGATGCCTCAGAAAAATAATTAAAAAATAAATTCAGTATCACAGTGTTCCTTCTCCTTAAATGCAAACCAGCCGTTCTTGCGAAAACAATAAGCTAATAGCAGCGCTACATTATTTAAAAAAAACGGTACGGTACGTTAACACGATGTTAACGTAGAGTGAGACTCAACCGTTGTGATCGTGGTGAGACCTAACTCTGCTATCTCTTGAGTTTATGAGAAGTTAGAAAGGAATCAACCGATGTATTTCTGCGAGTAGTCGATGGCCTACGCGATATGACTCACTCATTTCTTTCCTGCAGAGCTCACTAACGACAGAGGCTTCAGCGTGATGTTCAAATGGCTAACCAAAAAATAAAAGATAACTCCTGCTAGTTTGAAGAATTTATGGGTAATAAACGTAATAAAACAGTTATTGTTTAACAGCAGCTATAAACGACTTCATTCTTATTCAAAATAGGTTTTTCAAAACCAAATTTATTTATTTTCGACGATTTGGTCGTCATTTTCAAGAAAATTTTACAGTACTGTAAAACTGTAACTGTAAAATTTTCTTGAAAATGACGACCAAATCGTCGAAAATAAATAAATTTGGTTTTGAAAAACCTATTTTGAATAAGAATGAAGTCGTTTATAGCTGCTGTTAAAACAATAACTATTTTATAACTTCTGCTAAAAAAACATCTACCATTTTCAAAACAGAGACTCCTCCGCAACTGAATTCATGAAGTTCTACTCTTCGGAAATAATAAGTGGTGCAAAACGTTTTAATCGTCTTTTTACTCCAAAATTCCATGTATGAAATGTTATTGATCATTTTATCAGCTTTTTAAAAAAACCCTACACTAGGAAAGAAATATGAGAACAGATCGAGAAAAATTTTGTCGGTCCAGCGACTAGAGGGCTGTTCGTACGCACATTATGAAAATAAAAACGTTATATGTACAGTTTTCTTGCTTGTTCCTAATACCGCAGTATAAACAAAACTGTTTACTATTTAAAACGAGTTCACAACACTTCATAAAATTAATTGTGCTGAACGAAAATTTATTTCGTATCAGAGAATAAAAAGAAAAGATTTATACTTGAATACCATGTGCAAAACAGACGCCGTTATTTCTTTAAAAACACTACAGTTTCTTTAACTGAATAGGATGTTTTATTGACATAAGAGAATATACCGTGAAAATGTATGCAGAAAATTATTACAACTGAGAAGGACGGCCAACTGTGTTAGAAAGATACTCTGACTGCGGTGACGACCACTAACTATACAAAGTCGGTTGTCTTTTTCGATAGATGTAACAGAAACAAAAGATAAACTAAAAACGTGCTTTTCTGAGTGACTAGATACGTTACAGAAAAAAATAACGGCGTCTGATTTGCACATGGTATTCAAGTATAAATCTTTTCTTTTTATTCTCTGATACGAAATAAATTTTCGTTCAACACAATTAATTTTATGAAGTGTTGTGAACTCGTTTTAAATAGTAAACAGTTTTGTTCATACTATCGTATTAGGAACAAGCAAGAAAACTGTACATATAACGTTTTTATTTCATAAATCGGTTCTTGTCCAATGTGTAATTGTTGACGAGGTGGAATAATTCCGTATTTAATTGTTGCATAGAGTAGAGCTTCGGAACAGAGATCAGCTGTTAGAGTTAATTGTTCTAAGAGACGTCTGAGTTAGATTGACGAAAGGGAATGTCGTTGTTGTGCTTCTTCAGACACAGAAGAAAGAAGATTAGCAATATCTGTATAGATGGAAATAATTGTATCGATAAATATTTCATTATCCGATTGAGTAGAAATATAATCAAAGATGTACTGTGCTATTTGTTCGAGTATTTGGAGGAGGAAGGATGAGGTAGAGACAGATGTTTTCAATGCTAAGAACCATAGATGGCGATAATGTGTATTTGTTTCTATATTTTTAACGAGAATATTATTAATGTCAGTTTGAAGATAGATTCTGAATAACTCTTGAGTAGATCTAAATGAGCGAATAACAGGCACTTTCTTTCTCGTCTTTCGTTCTGGAACAAGTTTTGATTCTTTGACAGAGATTTTAGCAGATGTATTAAGAGATAAAATCTCAGTTTGCGTGCTAGAATCACTTTTGCCCATGGAAATTGAGTTGGATTGATTTTTAGCTGTGTGAGAAGAAGAACACTCATGTAATGGTACTAATTTCTGTTCCTTGTTTTCGCTTGGTAGTGGTAGCAAACTAGCATGCTGCGAAAGATCAGAGTCGTAAGCATACAACAGCTGTGCGGGCAAAGATGCGGTCGAAACTTGAGCTTTAGGAGCTCCAGGAATTACGGTAATAACATCTCCAGAGGCTGCTGTCAACGTATTAGCTGACAATATCTGTGTTCGAGATGAGCTTTGTTGCTCATCCATAACCTGAATGATAGCCTTTGTTTGCATTTCCAAAGCTTCCTTTGCCTGCTCCTCCTGTAGTTTCATAGATTCCATCTGCATTTCTAGGGCTTTAGTTGCCTGTTCTTTCTGTATTTTCATAGATTCCAGTATATGCATATTCTGCATTTTCATAGTTTCGAGCAGCAATGCGTTGGCATCAACTCCACCACTAGCGACAGAAAGATCAGGTGTAGCACGCGATGCACTAAGAAGAAAAAGAAAACATTACATCGGTCGATATCTTTATATCAGTAGTGAACCGAATATATTCTTGTTCTTATTTCAACTTGAATAAGTTGGATGATAACTTATTCAGAATAAGTGCACAGAGAGCGAGTTGAGAGATGTGAATAGAATTGCGTGTACTTATTTCGAGCTCAAATTCTAACTGATTTTGAGATGTATTGCATCATGTTCCCGAAGAGAAAACCGGGTAAAACATGATGAAATCAGCGTCTCAGCTATCATAAGAAACATTCCTTTTAAGCCAGAGATGGGCGAGTCGCATTTTTCTGTGACTCGGACTCGAGACGAAAGACTCGAGAATCTTGATAAACTCGACTCAGTCACGTGCAATTTTTAGCAGAAGAAGGTATTGATTCAAACCTTATCTTTCAAAAACAAAATAAATATCCTATTTTACTCAAACTTGCTAAAATGTTTCTATCTGTCCCTGCAACATCTGCGCCGATAGAGAGAATATTTTCTCAAAGCGGTTTTTTGATCCGTCGTCATCGTGCGCGGCTTACATCGAAAAATCTAACTTTGTTAACGTATTTGAAATGTAATAAACATTTGTTATAAAGTGTTTTTAGACTTGTTAAGTAAAAAAACGTTTTTTATGTCAATTGAATTATATGGTGCCCATCTTTAGATCCAACTTGCAAAAAAGAGTCGAGATAACACCTAGGAAGTGTTCAGCAGAATGAGTAAAAACGAATGCTTAAAACAACAGCAGTGAGTAGTAAGCTGTCTTGAAAAAATGAATCAAGAGGAAGACTACCACTAGAAAATGACTCGAATTTTTTATGCGACTCGGACTCGAACCTGGACTCGAAGCCTGCTGACTCGGACTCGAAAAAGTGGTGACTCGCCCATCTCTGTTTTAAGCGACTCTTTTATACCAAAAGTTGTTATTTTTCATTCTTCTTTGTGACATATACGGGCTTAGTTAATCTGTGAAAGAGATGTGTCTCAAGAAAACTTGTCCAAAAATCCGATAGTGTAACATTGTGACTAGCGAAAATGAGACCTACTTAGATAAGGGAACAGAGAGCTGAATTTGCTGTGTGCATCTTCTGAATTTACTACCTGCCTCTTTATTCATACTGATTTTTTCAAAAAATAAAATTTTTTGTGTATGGGACTCTCGCGGGAGTTTTTGTGGACTCCTATAGGACTCCTTGCGGAGTGAGTCGACGAGAGTCCCAATAAAAAATAAAAGTTTTTGTGTATGGGACTCCCGCGCAGAGCCCTGCAGGTTGTCACCTGCTGACAACCTATAACCTAAGCTATAAAAAATTTGGCAACCTAATCCTAACCTAACCTATAGGTTAGGTTAGGATCAACCTGCAGGGCTCTGCTCCCGCGGGACTTTTTGCGGAGTCCTGTAGGACTCCCTGTGGATTTTTTGAGAAAAAAGACTGCCACGGGATTTCTGTTGGGAGTCTCGACTAGGGTAAGGATAATTTGACAGCCCTCTTAATAATCAGTTAATTGATATAAGCTATTTTTATTTAAGAAGAAAATTAAATGCGAAAACTCCCCGAACTAATTCGGCGAACCATTAAGTTAATTATGTTGAACAATTCTCTTAGAACATTTGATTCGGCTAATAACGGACAGCCGATCGTTCTCAAGAAGACGAAAGCGAAAGAAAAGCATAGAACTTT